CAGTCGCCTCTTCCTTTCCTCCTCCTCCTCCTCCTCCTCCTCCTCCTCCTCAGGATTACTTAGGCTAGACCTTTATGGTAGACAAAAGTGGGTGCAGTTGGACTAGATCCTTTGTGGGGAAGGGCCCCCGAAGCCCCGTTCGGCAGGAGCTGAAGTCTGCAGGAAGCACGTGGGTGTCGTAAGCTCAGCTGGCGGGCGCTGCGGTGCCATTGCCTTGGCGTCCAAGGGCTGAGCAAGCTGTTTCCAGCTCAGACTTTGGGTTCCTGTGAATCCCACCTTCTGTTCGGGCGGAAACCTTTACAGCAGAATGGAGCAAAATCCACAGGGTAATGAATTACGGATGCTAGTCTGGAGGGCAGAACGGTAGCCGGGACCCCTCCTTTAAACCCCCCCAAATGCAGCCAGTGATTCAGTTTCTTCCAAGGGTTTTCCGTGCCCCTCCAGGAGACCTGCTTCCTTCTGCCCGAAACAGAGGTCTTAGGGGATGTTGTAGAGAAGGCTGAGTGGTGGGCGTGGTCCGACTGGATCTTCCGTAAAGCAGGCAGTCCTTGACTAGCAGCCGTTCAAAGTTACAACCGTTACAACTTGAAGCTGCGTAATTTGATCTGGGCGCCGGGGGCCTATGTGAATTGCAACCTTTTGTGGGCAGGTGATCGCCATCTTCTGCAGCTTCTGACAAGCAAAGTGGGGAAGCCGGCTGGTGTCACCAGTGGCCATCGTGGGACTTCATGCTTAATGACTGCATGGGGTTCACTTACAATGGCACAGCTGGAACAGCTGTCCAAAGTCAATGTGTCCCATGTTGTCCCTTCTGGCCCCAATGACCATCTTAGCCAAGAACAACATGCACCCCCCACCACCACCTGCAAAGCCAGGTCTTGGACTTCCTTTTAGTACCACCCCCCCAATGCCCCCCCCCCCAGTAATTCTCCAATGTGCCTGGGATCTCTCTTGCTCACTGCTGCAGCCACCTAGACTAGGAGCCAGTTAGATGGAGAAGGGTCTGTAGTTGGAGACCCCCGTCTCCTCCAGTCAGCTGCCGTCCATGTGCTGATGGCCGCTGCCAGAGGTCGCCTGGGGGCAACCTGGAGTCGTGTTTGAAGGCTGGTGGTGCCTGGACAGAGAGACGTCAGCAGGACAGAACTGTCTTAACGTTTGCTCTCGGGGCCGTGTGTCGGTGTTTAA